ACTCCCGCTATGTTAGTTTTTTATAAGTAACTTGGATCCAGAAAACAACTTTATGAAAGTGAAGGTATCTTTTCCCTTCCATTGAAAAAATATTTCTATTCACTAAACTACTTTTCAGTTTGAATAATTCTGCTATTTGGTTAACTAAAAAGAACTATTTTTTTTTCTTTCTCAGTAATACATAACTCTGCTCATGATATTTATAGTGAACGGAAAATATTTATTATGGGTTATCAGAAGAAAATACACCTTTCCACTTGGATTATTTAACTTGCTCCAATTCAGAAATACTAACTATATCCTATTTTATTATTTGGACAATTTCTACAAATAATAGTTTTAAGAAATAAACAAATCAGTTTATTACCAATAGTATTATCAATATCACAATTTCTACCAAATCATCTTTGTTCTAAATTTCCTATAAAGTGGTATACGCATATACACAGTACTTATGTAATGGTTTTTTTTTTTTTTAGCTAAGCCATCCTGCCACCTGTTGGCAGCTCAACTAGGGCCGGGCATCGAACCGCTGTTGCTCAGAGCTCGCTCTTTTGAGTGAGTGCTTAACCAACTGAGCCACTTGGCTGGCCCCTGTAATGGTTTTTAAATGACATAAAAGTGCAGTGTGCTTATCATGAAGAAAATAAGGTTGCCTGTTTTGCCATTCCACTTTTCCTTATGGAGATCTTCCCTGCTTTTCTTTCTCTGATCCCTCTGCTTCCCATCTACTACGCTCCAGTACAAGCGATTTAAGAATTTAACCAAGTATAAGTTGCTAGCTACCTGCTTAGGCAACGTAAGTTTCCTACATCTGTAAGTTACTTGATGGCTCTGGTTGTTAGGATTTCATTTTGCCACTGTTACTACATTACTTGTTACATGAGGAATCCCAGAAATATAAGTAGTACTTAAGTAACATTGCTTCATTGTAATTCCAAATACCACATACATGTGCTACCTTCACATTCTTGTTCTTCTCAATAGTCGCCAAATAGTGAAGGCCAAGAGAAATTCACAGGTTACCAGAGCAAAAGACACACTACATTAAATCTTTGGGCCCATTCTTGTTGGCATTAATCAAATTTATTTACTTTAAATTAGCCTCTCTTTTACTGGGTTAAATCAACCAACTAATTTTGCTAAGAGCTCAGCACTATCCTAGGTGTTCTGAAAACAGAGATTCTGTGGCAAGAATATTCCATCAAATAGTAATAATGTAAGTCGGAGTAAATAGTGTTTCATATGGAAAGTGTTTTAAATGTTAAGAGTATAATTAATGGAATTAAAATGATTATAGAAGCCTTAATGAAGGTGACAACTGAGCTGGGTCAAGGATGAGTGGAAATGAGGCAGAGGAAAGACAGCCATTTCAGCTGAGAGGTACAACATAAGCCACACAAATAAGAATTAGTTAATATGGGGAAAAGAAGAGCAGTAATGTTGAATAATTATACAGAGGGTGCCCAAAAAACGTATATACATTTTAAGAAAGGAAAAAACTGTGTTAATATATACTGATAACAAAAGATGAATACAAGTCACGTTTGACTTCCGCAATTACAAGAGGTGCTCAAAGTGGTTACCTTCAGCGTCCAGACACTTCTGATTACGGCAAACTTCTGCTTGAGCAACGTTGACCAAAGTGCTAACATCGCTGAAAATGTGTATACATTTTTTTGGCACCCCCGTTATTTAAAACAGCAATACCACTTTTTTTGTGATTTAGTCTTTAAAAGGTTCTTAAAATATTTTATATAATTGATGTGCTTATAATCTTCAGAATGACTATATTCCTTATTTCTGTGATATGTTTATGACCAATCAGAAACATGATACAACAAAAGCACAAATAAAATGTCTCATTAGCAAAATAATTTCCACTAGAATACAATGATCGTACTGAATCTAAAAAAGGAGATACACTAAGTAGTCTTGTCACATATATGTATTATGATCGATATACAGAAATATTGATTTATAAATCAGACGAGTCCACTAATTCACTAACACAAGCTCACCACTCCAATTCCCAATTTGTCTTCAAGTAGTTCCAAAGGTCTCAAACGTATTATTCAGTTCACACCAAGGGCTCTTACTAATATTTTTCTCCAGTGGACACAAGTTTTAAAATTTCTGATTAACAACAGCATTTATTAAAAGTGATTTCAGTATTTTTCCATTTTTTTTAATCAATGATACATATCAGAAGTTTTGATCAATGTAACATATATAAGTACTGTCCACAAACTGAATGGATACAAAGCCAGGCAAAATAAAAGAAACTTGATGTTTAGTTAGCCCATACATCATTATGTGGAAAAGTAAGCTTTTTGTAGACTTTTTGAAGACCTCCATTACAACTTTCCAGAACACCTAAACGTCTAGTGACCCCAGACTGGGAACCACAGGTAATCACTTCATCATGTTGCTCATTCTCTCTGACTCCAGTCAAACAATCTGACATCTGTGTTCCCTCAACTCCCCGTCACTTTCACTTTAGTTGACTTTGAAAGGTCCTAACTGTTCCTCTACTTGCCAGCACTTCTCCAGATGTGTTCACCTATTAGAAAGCACAAATCTTTTTTTTAGTTCTAGTTGTAATGTTTTTAATTTATTACTATTTTTTTTAATCGGATTCACATTTACTTTTACATTTCTAGAGTCTAGCCAGAAACCTAGGCACAAAACAGACAACCATTAAGCTAAGGCACGACTGCTTCAAACTCTGAATACCATTCTAAACCTGGGGCTCTGAGATACCAGACTAAACCAATCAAAAAGGTATCAGCTAAGCTCTGGATGCCATCCTACCACCTCTGATCACTGCCCAAAATTTCAAACTTGAAATTTTAGAGTAATTTAAAAAATGCTCAGGCTAAGCTAAGGTCTCTCCTTTCAGGCTTACAAAAAAACACACAAAAACGAACATTAGTTTGTAGATAGGTCTCTTAAAATCAGTTTTTCTACATCTTGTCTGAATGGTTCATCATCCTCAAGTACCACAGATAATAGGCAAGCCTTGAAAACATAATGCTGCATATTAATATAATTAAAACTATTACTCAAGGCTGGGCATGCTTTTTCTGTATAGCAAATTTTTATAGTAATATTTGCTACAATTTGATTTAGCCTGTAAGAAAAGCAGCTTAATTACTACTCTAGATTTAGTATTTACAACAAATAGTTAAGAAATAATAATTAGTGAGGTTTTTAATGGAAAAGATAATCACAAAAAATAAAGAAAACGTTCAAAGGAAATAGTCTACAAGGGCATTTATGTTCAAACAAGCAAAGGAGTAAATTATAAAATAAAGCAATATATTTGCTTTCATGTCTATTATATAAAATCAAATTTATAAATATACTTCAGAGATCTATTCTCTTGCTTCTTCTATATTGTAGACCTCCTGATCATTGATTGATTATTCATTTATCACCTTAGTAGGATTGTAAGAGCATTATCTGAGTCAGGCCCTGAAATATAGGGTTGTCGTTAAAGTCATGACACATTTTTGCAATGAAAAACATAGAAAAAATACGTCATGACTTTTCCAACAACCCAAAAGGTTTCTCATTCACCAAAGCAATCCTAGGTCATATCAGAGAAAAGCAGAGATGCAGACCTCCCCTAACTGATCCAGGCAACGAGAAATCTTGTCACTTGAAAACATACTACCATATCTGTAACAAGGGTTCCTTCTCCCCAGTTAGATTAGCTCTTCTTTGTACAGTAAGTCTACCTGCATTGAGGGCCAAGGCCTTGGCTCAAAAATAAGCTGTGCATAATTGGCACATTTCTATTCAAATTTTTCTCCCCAGTAACATCAATAATTAAGGGTGTCCCTTGGTTATAATAAAGCCAATGGAAAAGGTATCAAAAAAGATCAAGTTAAAAGGCACACACACACAGACACACAGACACACAGACACAGACACACAGACACACACACACACACACACACACACACACACACACACACTTCGAAATACATTTTCTCCAGAAGATCAGGTTAACAGGCAAAAGAAAAAAAATCTTTTGATAACCAAACTTGGAAAATCATGTAAAAAGTTAAGTTGAAGGACAGGAAGAAAGACAGAAACCTACACATAGGAATTATGTTCTTCCTGCTTCCCAAATGAACATGAAATGATTTCCTTGCAATGTATTAAAACCATAATTACCATAAGTATAAAAGCTACATATTTCATATTTAATTTTAAAATGTTCATAGAGTATTTTTTTCAGATTATCTATCTAGGTATTATTTTTATAAATTTTCAAGGAATCAGTTATCTTACCAATTCCCAAAGATGAAAAAAGTAGACTAAGAAAATATCAGGTTAACGTACGAATATAAACATAGAGCAATGTATACAAGTATGTTATTCTACTTAAGCATTTCTCCTAAAACTTTCATATGGATTTTGTTAATGCATGTGTTGAAATCGACAAACCCTAAATAACCCCATAATTTTGTTGACCATCAATGTAACAGAATTAATTTATCCCCTAAAAATTCGCCTACTTCCTTAATATTTCCCCTAAGTGTATGCCATGAAACATAGGTCCCTAGAAGATATTTCATGAAAACGGGTTCTGCTGCTAAATAAATCTGGACAACGCTGTACACTGTGACTTCTCCTGGAGGAGCTTCACGACACACGAGTACATTAAGGTCTGAGGACTCCCAGGGAGAAAAGCAGCCTGCTTGTTTCTCTTCTACCAAGTGTTCCCACACGTATTTAACAACAAAACCCTTTGTTGGGGACAAAACTTTGAATCTAACATTTCACAGACCATATCTGAAGGAAATGGGTTTTTCAAGTTATATTTCCAAAACTGCTGTATAGTACCTTGCATTCTGTACCAAGATTAGTAACAATACTCTACATGAGTGTTTTCATACATGCTCCTCAGATGCTATCATTTTCGAATCTTCCATGTAGGTAAAAACTTTAAAATCTTTCAAGACTACCCAATTCTCCTTTATGCTTACCTTTCTAAAATGCTTGTCACTTTCAGGTCCATGATCTGTTGCTCTAAATGTGGTTTCTCCAGATGAACCTTAAAGATAAATATGCAGTCCTTTAAATTCTCCAGTAATGTCAATAATCTAAATTCTAAATTATGTTTAGTCGATTAAAAGGTAAATGGATTTTTAGAGCAAGTATTACTTTTTTGGAAAACTATTCTTATTTTAGGAAACATACTGGTAACCTATGCAAAAATTTTTTTTTAATTATAGTACATGTTTAACTATTTTTTTTTAAAAATCACTGAAAATTACAATAAAAAATAAGACAATCTTTGATAAGAATTATTTTACATGACAGTACTTACAGTTTAGCCATATACCACTGCCATTACAAACTACATTTAGTAAAAAAATAAATTTAAAATGTCAACTATGACAGGACAGATGAGACAAACTAAAATTACTTTTCATTTCAATTATCAAAAACAATCAGATCAATTTCAAGAAAATACTCTGGTAAAGCAAATTTTTTTTTTAATATCTTTAATCTTAGAATTTTAGTTTTACCACAAAAGAATTGTTTTATTATTTCCACCTAAAGGAGAATGAATTTGCCCAATATAACTCTGGGGTTTTAAAATTCAGCATAAGCAGCATTATAAATTTGGTCTGCAATTTTATTTGCAACTAGTTTATTAGAAGCATTTAAAAGGCATATTAAGGTCAGCAAAAATGTCTGTTTACACACCTAACAAGAGAAGCAGGTCAGAAGCTCCTATGACTTCACTAACCAATTTGTGACCTGTGAAAAACCAGCAAAAGGGGAAATAGAAATGTAAAACTTAATAGGAATGAGAAAACAGATGTCTGAGATCTTAGATGTATATCCTGATAAGGCAGTAATTGGGCAAATACAGGATTAACCTTAGTAAATTCTACTCATTACGGTCTATCAAAATTAAATTTGTTTTAAAAATCACCAAATTGGCTCAAACCAACTATGAAAAGCAAACACATAGGAAGTCTCATCTACTTGTCAAAAACAAGTGATATTTTTTTCCCTCACCAACTAAATCCTAGCTTATTTAAGTTTTTGCAAACTTTCATTCTGTTGGGCTAAACCAAAATTAAAATCACTGCACAACAAAACTCTGTCTATTTTTTATTTTTTTCAAAACCCCGTTTTTCATTTGTACTAAATGTTTTCATTTAAAAGATGGGAATAGACAAATGAATACATCTAATTATTTTTCCTCTGTGGCTTCTGACATTTTAAATGAGATCGAACACAGGTCCTTTCTTACCTGTGGTGAAAAAGTCCTTCAATAAGCTGAGGCTTTCAACAATTTTGTCAAAGTCGGGTGCCAACTTTGAAAGGTCCTCTGAATTAGGAAGGGCTTTTCTAATTTTCTCTGGAGAAAACAGAACAAAAAAAACCATTCTCAAAATAAATATTTGATTATTAAAACACTAATAAATTTAAATAATCATCATATATAAATTTAAATTAAATTTTTTTTCAATTTTTGCCCCATTACAACTACAACTGCTACATATATCTGAAACAATATATTATTCTGATGATATTCTATAAGCCATGACATTTTTAAAGAGACTCGCCAAACATATGGCTTAGATGGAGACCTTCGGTTTAGAAGTTAAATGTGTTGAGACAGAAGCACTATATTAACAATGTTAATAATGGACTGGAATCAGAAGTACTTTGGGGGAGAAAGTCACAGCAAAGAGGCAAAGAATCAAAGAAAAAGGAGAAAAACATCTCTTATAGCACTTGGCCTAACTCAAAAAAGTGATCATATCCCAGTTCAAGTTCAAGAAGAGAATTCCATTACGTTTCTCCCTCCTTTCATAGTCCCTAAGAAGACTCACACCTGTTACCGACTGGAAAATAACTAAGAGCCCAAGGCAAGCTTTTATTTTATTTTAGCTAGCTTTATTTATAAAATGGTCAAACATTTATTTTTGTTTAAAAACACTCAACAATTTTGTCCAAGTCTGGTACAACTTTATAGTCTTCTGAATTAGGAAGGGCTTTTCTCATTTTTCTCTGAAGACCAAAACACATAAATAGTCTCAAAATAAGAACATGTGTCAGCTATTAAGTGCTCTAAAAGCATTAACTTGCTTAATTTTCAGAGCAGCCCTACAAAACAGCTATCATCAAACCCATTTTACAGATGAGGAACTGGGACACAGAGGTTATGGAACTGGGCCAAAGCACACAGCAAAGAAGCAGGGCAGTCAGAGTTTATGTCTAGGCAGTCTAGGTCCAGAATCCAGGCTCTCAGCCTCCACGCCACGGTACTGGCAAATGCAGCAAGTCTAAAAAGCTCTCCTTACAAATATTAGAAAAAGAATTTGAAAAAGTGCTTTTTCTACAAACACCTGTCAACACAGCACAGTTTTAAGAAAGTGCTATGAATAAGTACATGTAGAGATTAATTCCACCCCCATATACACCTAAGAAATTAGTCTATAAAAGGAGACTGAGAAAAACAATTTCATCTAAAACATTTTTTTGAAAAGATCACCATGACTTACTGGTAATCATAGTCAAATATACTTTTTTCTCAACTACTTATTATTAGAAAAAGGGGGACAGTGGCTGATAATAGGAACAAATTACTCTGGACACTAGCAGACTTTTAAGGAACCTGGTTACAAAAAAACAGAGGTAACCAAGGTATCCCATTAAAAAGAGCTTGGTAGGTGGGTCATGGTGCATCTGTTCTGGGTAACACACAACATCGAAAATGATGTTTGGGAAGACTGCTCGGCAGTATGGAAAACACTGACAAAATGTGTTAGGGAGCAAAAGATAAGATACCAAAGTCTATGTTCACTATGATTATGCAATTTTTAAAAGGGAAACTAAAATATTAACCACATACACAGATAGGTACAATTAAAAGAAAATGCTCCAGAAGGAGAGTGGCAGCTATGTGCAAGTGATGGACTACTGGATACTTTTTGTTTCTTTTAAAGTTTTTCTTCGATATTCTATTTTTTTTTTCATTAAAATAAAACTGCTACACATTAAACTCACAAGTTAGGAAACAATCTCAATATAACTAGTTCTCTTTCCTGGAGATATGACCAAAAACCAGTTATTTTAATGTTGATGATACAAACCTAAATCAATATATTCATCAATCTCCCACACAATGTCAGGCACGATCCACTTATAGTCACTAAGGTCTGGTATCATGTCTTTCCATTGATCAAAAGTCTACAAGAGAAGAAAGTATGCCAATCAAATGCTCTGAATGCCATGTAAAAATATAAGGAAGATTATTTTAATTTATTTAGTTAAAACACGCTAATCTACTAAGAGTGATATATTCAAAACTTTTAGAAACAAAGTGGTCTCAACTCTTCTAAAAACAAATTAGCAAGTAAGCATATAAAATTGCAAATGTCCCTTTACTGACTACGGAAAATGTAAAAATTCAAAAAACTTGAAATATTCCTATTTCAAGTAGGTTTCATGATTTGGATTTAAACAACATTGTGGAGTAGAAGAAAGACAGACCAGGAGTCAGGACACCTTGCCTCTGGTCCCAGCCAAGAAGAGGTTGCATGAACAGGCCACTTCACTTTCCTATCTGTACTCCTAAATGGCAAAGCTGAAACATCAAACCAAGGTGCTCTCACTCCCAGCACAGTGTTCCTTCCACGAGGCCGTATGTACCTCCTATAATTATAACTAAGATTCAAAGGCATTTTCTTATTACTAGTTAACACCACTAAAACAACCTAGCATGTAGTAGAGACACACAATAAATGTTTAAACATCCAATTGTATTTTATTGCACTAAAGAAAAATTATTTATGCTATAAAACTTAAAATAATCATGCTGAATAATTGGAAAGGCAGTAGGAAAGTTAAACTCACCTTTTTGGCTGTATAACCACCCCCAACAGCAGATCCCAGTACGAGATACCGAAGTTTTAAGAGTCTTGTAGCTAATCTTGCTGGCCAAAAATTCCTGCGGGGCTGGTAGCCATACTTAATTGGGGAAAGTTTTAATTTATGTAAAGGGAGGTTAGTTAGAGAGGAGAACTGCTGAAATGATGTCCGGAATTGGGGTCTTTGAAGCTTTAAGGTAGGATGATGTGAATGATAAATACTTCGTGAAACCAGATGCAGTTTTTGTAGTGGTAAGCTTCCTTTTATTCCAGAGCTGTGTTTCACTAAGGATTGGCAGACCTCACTGAAAGAAAAATGGGTATGGCAGAAAGATCACACAGGGTAAAAACACAAAGGAAATGATACAAAAGCAATATACTCAAGGGAAAACACACGTATGCGTGCATGTGGCCAACCACCCTACGTCATACGATAGCACACATTTTCTAATAGCTTGCTATGTGTCAGGCACTGTTGCAGCATGGCCTACCCCACCGAATCCTGCTAATAACCCTATGATGAACTATCCCCATTTTACAAATGAGGAAAAGGTGGCACACAAATGTAAGTAGCTTGCCTAAGTGCACACTGTTATAAGGAGTAAAGGTGGGATTCAAACTCCGGCAGTAGGACTCCAGAGCCTGTCCTCTTATTTCAGTCGCCCAGATGTGAGAAAAGAAACTAAAATGAGGTGGCAGCAGTGAGAAAGGAAAGGGAAAGGTACATAGTAGAATGACAGACTAGACATGGGAGGAGGGAAAAGGAGAGTAAAATAACAACCATGAGATTCTACCTGGGGAAACTAAAGTTACCACTTACCACTTACTGATATTAAACACTGCAGAGATTAATCAATTTTGGGAACAGTTCCTGGTTCCATAACATTTAGCTCAAACGTCTTTCAACTCTATTCCTACATCTACTTGTCTTTTGCGTCAGATAAACTTTGGTGCCAATCACAGTTTCACTGCTTACTAGTTGGGCAATCAAAGGCAAATTATGAATTTATCAAAGCCTCACTTTTTCAATCTGTTAAAATAATAGCTATATCAGAGAGTTATAGTCAGCAATCGCTAATTCAGGCATCTTATTCTCAGACCATAATCCCCTTTCACTACAACCATCTTCGACCCTATAAGGACAACCAAGTCACTGATACTTCTATCTTCTTACCTATTTGTTCCCATCTTATCTATTTACCCACTTATCCACCTTAAATTCCCCAGTTCATAGTTTCAATAACTCTTTTGCAATCGTCTAGTCCCCTGTCCTCTGAGTTTTTGTTTCACTTGACTGGCAAAATAGAAACCCTGGATAAACCTTGTTATCGCTTTTCTCCCTGCCTGCACCAGGGGAATGAGGCACTGCGGAAGAAAACCACACCTCCTGGACAGATATCTCAGCTAGGCCTCGGAGGTTGCCTGACAATCTTACCTCACTTCGCTTATCACTTACGTCTTCTTATGCCAGGACTACTGCAGACATTTCTCACTCTTCTCTAACCTCCCACATCTCCCCATACTTGCTCCAACTCCCAGCAGATGAGCCCACGTCACAGAGAAAACGGAAGGAAACATGCTGTTTACTGACTGTACCTATTCCTATGCTTCCAGCTCCCCCTCTCCCCACAGCCCCGGGAAGATTACAGCAAGCGCTCTTCCTCCCATTAAGGGCAAATCCCTCTATTTGGAATTCTGTTTTCTCCCGCCTTTTCAGGAGTCACAAGTCAAACCTCTCTCATCTTAAAGGAGAGAGGGAAAAAAGGACCCCACTTCCGTTCTCTAGCTACTCTATTAAAAGCCAGACCAACTTCATTTCCATTGGTATCACTTCAGTGAAACAGCTCTTCTTCGGTGTGCAGAAAGCTTTCCAATGGGCATTTGGTTTTTCAATTCTCATTTTAGCTCTCTCAGCAGTATTTGACAACACTGACACCTCTTCACTGTTGGAACTCTCTCTTCCCTAGTTTTTTACTCTCACCTCACTGGTCACTCCCTTTCAGTTGCCTCCTCCCCAGCTACCTTTTAAATGTTGGGAGTTCATTAAGGCTTAGATCTAAACCCACTTCTGTCCTCACTGTATACATTCTTCCCAGGCAATTTCATCCACACCCATTTCCTCAATACTATCTACATACCCATGTTTCTCAAATTTATGTCTAATACAAATATTAAGTTCCAGATCCTGGTATCCAACTGCCTATTCAACATTACCACTCAGGTATCAAAAAGTGCCTCAACTACAAGAGGTCCAAAACCTTGACATCCCTCCTTCTCCTTCCCCGCAAACCCTGACCCTCCTCCAAATACTCCCTATCGCTGAAAATGGCATAAGCACGTATCCAGTTACATAACCCACAAACCTGGGGAACATTCTTGATACCTCCCTCACCCTTAAGTTCTGTTAATTCTACTTCAACACAGATATCAAATCTTCCATTTCTCCCATCTCCCCCGTTCCTTACCTGGGTGGCTACAATGGTCTGTACCAAGGTGTCCCCCACAGTAAAACCCGAGTACTCTTCTGAAATGTAAATCTGGTCACTGGCACTCACCTGCGTATCTTTTAAACATCTCCCCTGCACTTAGAATGAAATCCAAACTCCTGATCTACAAAGTCCTCCGCGGTCTGGTTCCTACCTCCCTCCCTCTCACGTCCAGCCCAGTTTTCATCCAGTTCCTCGAGTGCCATACTCCTTCCCACCTCAGGACCTTAATACCCACCCCACTCTTTGCATAACTCTTCTACCTATTTAAGCCCTTTACGTTACTCTTACTCCCGTTAATTCCTGTCACAATCGGTTTCACCTCAAGCAGTCCCTCCTTTCCTTGAAACTTCATTCTTATTCAAGCCCCCCTGCCACAGTTCCTGGCTCCCTGTACTTTTTCTTTAGTGCTTACAAAATTTATATTACAAAATAGCGTAATTATTGGATTAATATTTGTCTCTACCAATAAACTGCAATCTTCATAAGGTCAGCATCCTGTCTGATTTGCCTACTACTGTACTTCTAAAGCATAGCCTAATGCCTCACAAACAGTAGACACTCAATAAATTTGCTGAACGAACACATGTTATATGGAGAATTAAACAGCAGTCTTTTTTTAAAGTGAAAGAACCTAGCAATGACCACAGAAAAAGTGCTCAATAAATGTAATTTCAACATTAATTACACTAACCTCCACTAACGTGTGAATGAAAAGCCATTTAACCCACAAAAAATTATCTGCTAGTTTTAGCTAAGCTGCTATCAATATAAGACATTTTTAAGTCACAACTCTATGGAGTCATAGTAACTTTAGAAACAATTTAGCACAACAACATCCAACTGAATAAACAAATATCAGTTATTAGTTTTTAAACTTCTAAAAAAAGTTTTTGCCACATATCTTAATTGCTCCAACAAAGGATGCTATTTTCTCCAAAGTCTTTTATTCAAAGAAACTTAGATATGTTTCCCCAGTAAATACTGAGTAGAAATAAAAAAGGTTGTAAATAACTTACTTCAGTACAGAGGGTTGTGGATTTACTCAGAAATTAAAATTCCATGAGATTAGAAATAACTTATTCAATTATTCTAATTGACAAAAGCTATTGTATATCATCCAGTTCTGAATTTAGTCTCAAGTTAAGCTTCATGAAATAAATGGATTCTGTTTCTTATAAACACTATAAATTATCTACACCATTTAAAACGTTCTAAAAAATTCAAGACAGGTGTTTAGCTGAGTTAATTTGTGAAAACCATTTTTTTAACCTTGCTTAATGCATATTACTTCTTATCAAATGCCTGCAGCAGTAATTCTGAAAGTATCTAAGAATATTAGGATACTACTGCGTGTAAAGATAGTCATGTTTAATCTCATTAAAATGCATACAGTAGCCCATAGAAATAAAAAGATTTCTATGATTTTCTACTTAGGATTAAACCAGGCCAGGCCAACAATAACAGTGTGATTAGAAAGGTAGTGCCACATTTAACACCTCGTATCCAAAAGCAAGTCACCCTTTCCAAACACTGAAAAAAAAAGCTGCTATTAAGAGGGTAATCTCTAATCACTCTCTCTGACATCGTATGCGTCACTGCTCCAGATCTGATTCCAAATCACGTTCACTCAGCGGACTAGGGAAAGAGGCAGCGTCCCCTGCACCCTCGGAGGCAAGCGACAGTACCTGCAGGGGTAATGCACGCCCGGCGCGGGTACAGAAGAAGGGTTAAGAGAGAAGACGCGGAATGGGTGACACAGGGATAGCACCAGAGATCCGGGAAGGAGAGGGCAAAAGCAAGAAGCAACCGGAGACAGAGATAACAGTGAGGTCAGAAGGGTGAAAAGAGCAGGGACAAAAGGACAACAGAGACAGGCCAAGACTGAAAGGCGCCCAGAACCTTCGAGTGGCAAAGGAAAAGGGACAAGAGCCAGTACTGGAGCTGGCACCTCAGGTAAGCCCAGTCAGTGCTCCTATCACTCTGGGTTCTCAAAAATATCCCGGAATCCTCCCACTGCCCTCCGTCTGCACTAAGGGGCTATCTGCACATGCTATCAGTACTGATGGGACAACCCCGTTTTCCGGAGGCCCCAGAAATAACGGGGCCAGGTCGAGCCTGCACTTACCAGGCCACGGCGGCCCGGCGTAGTCGCCACATCCCTCCAGCGAGGAGGTCACACAGGCGGGAGCCCTGGTGTCAGCCCCAGTCCGGCTCCTGCTCCAGGAATGACCCAGGAAGAGGACCTGGGCAACAAGGACACAGAGAAGCCGCTGCGGCCCTTCCAATGGCGCATGGACTTCCGCAAGAGCCCGCCCGGCACCCGTACTCGGTCCGTCAGGCAAACAACCACCCCCACCCTCTCTAGGAGCGCAGCACAAACGTTCCGAGGGGGACTGGCGCATGCGCTCAGAGCCTAAACAACCCGCTCCACTCTCTTTGTTTCCGGGTTGGATTCTGAATTCGGGCCTCCCAGGTTAAAGACTTGAGACGGTGTGGGGTCCAGGGTTGGGTGAGGATTGAGAAGGGTGAGGGGTGTGGAATCTCGGTGGATACTTTCTCACCGGGTGGTAGCAATTTAAGAACATCTAGGAATTGAGGGAACATGGAGGAGCCTAAAGAGTACGAAATGAGGACTGTACTAGAGTAATAAAAACCAACGGTTGCTCCTTTGCCCCACTCTTTTTACCCAGCGTCTTTGTTTACAGAGCACTTTCGTGTCCTTAGAACAATCTCGGGAAGGCAGGAGGAGGGGTCAGCGACAGGTTAAGTGCATTAGAACCTCAGAAGGTCCTGTCTAAAAGGGGCTTAGAGCAAGTAGACCAGCTATAGGTTTGGAATAAGCAGTTTAGAAGGCGTCAAAAATGATTTTGTTCACTCAGTCTTTAACCGGCTTTCATCTGGTTTTTAATCTCATCAGTTTGTTGAAATGGCCCATGCCAACGCCTCCAACAATTCCGTGCTGCCAGTGGTCACCGACCTCTTAGCGTGCAGCTCAGAACGTTGGGTGCTCAGCACTCTTCTTAGCTTCCCTTTCTTGGCTTTCAGGACATTATATCCCTTTTCTCCAGTAGCTGCTGCTCCTCAGTTTCCTTTGCTAGCTCCTCCTCCTCTCCCAAATCCCTCGGTGTTGGAGGGTCCCAGATCTCTGAGGTCCTGGGCTCCTTCCTTTGTCTATCTTCATTCTTTCCCTAAGTAATCTAAGCCAGTTCTATGGCTTTAAATACTGTTTTCCCCTTTCTGTCTTATCATTTTATGTTTTATGAGGAAACGGGGCCATAAAAGAGATGTGGCCTGTGAAATGTAATGAAGTCAATAAGTGGCATAGCCAGGACCCAAATCAAAGGGTCCTGAGCCCCTGCTTCACTTCAAGAGCACCTCCTCCCACCCCCGGCCCCACCCCAACATACAAAGCATAAAACAGTTCCTTTTTAAATCAGAATCCTGAGTTAGTATCCATCCATTCGCAACACCAAGTGTAGACCCAACCACTGGTAGCAAACTTCCCAAATACAGTACTCTGGGAATTTTCTTTATTATATTTATTATGGTGACTGTTTTAATGGCAGTTTCTACTTGCTGTAATGACCTATGCAAACTATAGATCTTTCCAGGATTGTAGACTTGCACAAAAATTTCTTTGTTACTATCACTTCCTAGTTGTTTTAGAAAAGAGAGAGAGAGAGAGGAGAGAAAGAGAGAGAAACCAAATAATAGCAAACCCTTTCATATATGGGTTATCTTTACATTTTACAAAACCTTTGTTTTGCAATTATACTTTTGGAATATATCCTACCTAATCACTCCCATGTATATATGTGCAAAGATGTATGCATGCTGGTGTGTATTTCTGCACTGCATGAAATAGCAAAAGATTGGAATCAACAGGGTTAAAAGATGAACTGAGGCAAATTAAAATTTTTAAGTTCATTTGATGAAAAACTGATTTGACAGGCATTGCCAAACTGGAAGTGGTTAGGAGTGCTCCACTGACAGGAGCTGTGGGAAGACTCACAATGGATGACAAGGAAGCAAAGCAAGATTATTTGATCAGCCACAACTTAAGTAGCTGCCTTATTTGGGGAAACCTAGTTGGCTGTTTGTGGTTGATTGCCTCAGGTTTTGATTTCCTAACCTAAGCCATTTACAGGCTTAGGTTATGGTTTGCTTAGTAGGCTGACAAGGCAATGGAACCATCTCAGTCTAATGGCCTCTTTGTTTAATTAATTTCACAACATAAATGTCCTTAGATAGGAGCTAGTTGAGTAAATTATATTTATACTAGCCAAGAAAGCCTACGAGTTAGCTCTCTTTGTCCTGATAAGGAACAATCTCTAATACATAATAGTATCACATTAAAAAAAGGGCAGAATATTGTGTAGTCAAGCTAACACCATTGATTCAAATTCAGCCTGCAGACTGGTTTCATTCCGCTTGTGTTGGCCTGTCCAATATTTTTAAAATAATTGGATTTGTTGCCAACATTTAAAAACCAAGAAATTTCACATTAAAAAATTTCTGGTTTCTCTTAAAATATCAGCAGGCCTGACAACATCAAGTCCCCATTCTTACATGCAAAAACAGCTGAAACAAGGAGCCAAGTGGTGATTCTATCCTTCAAACACGCATGTTTTCTCCAGCAGTTCACATACCTTCAAGACTGCCTGAAATTGAAGAGTATATCAATTGTCATGTATGGTGAGTCATTTAGGCTTTTATTTTCTTTAGTAAAACCAAGAAGAAAGAGAACCACTACTTATTTTATATCAAAAGTGAGAAAATGAAAGACTAGAGGGACAGGTGTTTGCAAAACAACAAAAAGGGCTTTTTTTCCCCCAGAAATAAACATAACTATGCAAGTAAATTATGTGGTGTTGAAAGAATACAATTTAAACTGGTATTATTATACAACAAACCCATGTGCATTATTCATCTTACATGCCTAACCCAGGAAAGTATTTTGAGTTGATATGCCCTAGAAGTGCAGGGTAATACTGTGGTTTAGCATGAGGAATATGTATTTAGTCCCTCCTCCTGGCTCACAGCTCCTAAAACTCTTGATATTTCATGAGTGACTAGAGCGATAGTGAGTAGAGCATCTTTTGTTATAACGTACAGTTTTTGTCCTCCTGACATAAGTGATAAATGTGAAAGAAGTGTCTTGTTATTCATAACAAGTCCCTTTCAACCACATATGAGTTTATGTTAATGAGGCAACTTTTGGAAGACTAGATAAGAGACTATGTATTGATCAATGGGGCTAGTTGCCCGGGCATCCAATCACCTGATTAGAGGATTGGATCCTTCAGCCCTACCCCCAACTCTAAAGAGGTTGAATAAATCATCAATGGCCAATTATTTAATCAATTATGCCTATGTAATGAATCCTCCATAAACACCCAAAAGCATTCAGTTCACAGAGCTCTCAGGTTGGTGAACAAGAATGCACCCATGTGTTGAGAGGATTGTGCTCCCAAACTCTAAGGGAATAGAAGCTCTAATGCTTGGGACCCTTTTGGACCACGCCCTATGTTATCTCTTCATCTGGCTGTTCATTCATATCATTTAATATCCTTTGTAATAAACTGGTAGTCTAATAAGTACACTGTTTTCCTGAGTTCTGTGAGCCACTCTAGCTAATTAATCAAACCCAAAGAAAGGGTTGTGGGAGCCTCTGAATTATAGCCAGTTTAGTCAGAAATACAGGTAACAACCTGGACTTGTGATCGGAGACTGAAGTGAGGGAAGGGGACCAGTCTTGTGGGACTGAGCCCTTAACCAGTGTGATTTGCATCTAGCTCCACTTAGTGTCAGGATTGAGTTGAATTGTAGGACAACCAGCTGGTATCTGGAGAATCTGAGGATTGCTTGGTGTGAGAGAATCTGTCCCCCCACCCCATTCCCCACACATTTGGTGAGTAGAAGTGTCAGAAGTGGAGTATTCAGAGTATTGAGAGTAGAGACACAGGAGGAGTGATTTTCCTTTACAAGCAGGGTCTGAGGAAGCACTCAAGGATGGTGGGACATGAGAGAAGGGGAGACTTACTTTTATGTAAACCCTATTATACTCTGAATTTGTTAACACATGTCTTACTTATGCAAAGAAATAGATGTTAAAAATATTTTTCTGGCCCAGAAGTCATAAAATTATTTTACTATTTCAAACTACATTCTTAGGTTTGGCCGGGAATTGAGCAAATCCACCAACTAAAATGCTCAAAACATTACCTCTATTTGCAAAGAGACACTTTTCAGAGTTTTCAATAAAGCAAGTATCTTCAGAAAGGGGGATAATGGGAGATGTTAGTAGAAACTGAAATATTTGCATGTGTTTTTTTATATTTAAATTTTTACAATAGAAGTTTTTGCAAAGTCCTTTGGGGGAGGTGCCCGAGTCCCTTGAGACTATTCTTCCGCTGTGGTTTCCTGGAAAGAGAAACTAGCTAAGTCACACATATTTGCACCATCATTATTATAAAATTCTCCCCGCCCCTTGGAAAAGCTTGTTATAATCCTCATCAACAAACATTTATAAGTCATTTGCTATGAATTCTGCTCTGGGGATATATAAAAAAAATGACAAAAACCCAGTTCCTGCTCTCATGTACTCATAGTCTGGTTAGGGAGACGGACACGTACATCAAAAGATAATGTGAGCGAGTACCCACCGAGTATCAAGTAAGGGATAACAGTTCTGTTACATGTCGGAACTGTAGCATAATCAAGTGGGCTTAAGAAAGATAATTCTGGAAAAAACAGAAAAGGATGAATTTGTCAAGAGAGACTATAGGTCAGGAAGACTAGATAAGAGACTATGTCTTGAGAAAGTCAAGTGGGAGGGGACTGAACTAAAGTATAGCTGTGGAGATAGAGGTGAGAGATCATTTGAATGGATATTTCTGAATATTTAAAGCAATGAAAAACTGAACGCAGAATTAGGGAGAGGAATCAAACATGATGGGGGTTTCAAGCCATAGTAAATCGACAGTCACACGTAAAGGAAAGCTCATTTGAATGCTGGTGTTGGATTGATGATTAATGCTGAGGTAATAATGAGTAATCCAGGGAGAAAAATCTATGAGGTGTTTAGAAATCAAGTCCTGGGATTCCACAGGGAGGTAAGGCTTACGATAAGATTTGAGAGTTGTCGCAAAGGTGAAACTGAGTCACATTAACCTTTGTTAAACTGTGCAGGAATTTGAAATTATTTGTAACTGATTATTAAATCCACATTATTTTATAGTGTTTACATTTTAAGACTAAAAGTATTATATGCAGTGCAGTAATGCAGGAAAAATAAATATAAGATATAATTTTTAGATAACACGATTATTTGCATTGAAAAACCCTAAGAAATCAATAATAATAATTATAAAAACCTCTAGAAATAATTAGCGAGTTAAGGAGAATCTCAGAATATAATACCAATAGATTTAAAAAA